GTTATGGAAAAAAGAAACACAACGCGCTGGTCATCAAGCTCACGTGGAGAAAAATTGCTCAGATTAAGACACGATATCAATGGGAGCATATCCACCTGGGCTAACAAGCTATAAATATTGTATACTATTGATTTTTAATTTTATATAAGCAATTTTTTATTTCCAACTCATGTACAGATCTCATTATGTATATAGTATAATTTCCTGGAGAAAACAAATTTTGCAGTGAATTTTAATTATTTTAATTGTGGTAAGCAGCAGGTTTAATTGTGGTAAGCACAGAAATGTCGATCTTTATTTTAAATTATTTTTCACCACTCATTTTCTTCAAAGGGTAGCAATAAATATATGCAAGTTATTTTTGATTATAGAAAGTTGGTCTGCAAAGATGAATCTAGATTCCAATTCATTGCTTTAAAGAAAAGATGCACAATTAACATCATCCACTGTCTAATCTCAGGACCATTTCTGAGGTCCATATGTGTCTCACCTCTTTGTAATATACAGGGTGAACTCTTTACTGATACACACAAAACAACAACTGTTAAAGGCAAAGACTTGCCTTTTGACATTACTAGGCCTTTGATCTGGGGACTCTGGTGCTCGGCCATGAGGGCTGAACATGAACTACTGGGGAATGCTGCCATTCATCCCATCCCCTCCCTCCCACTTGTCTCCCTGGTGTGAAGAATCATTAGCTGAATGTAACTATACAACCAAAGTCAGATTTCATCCCAAATATCAAATCCGTTTTCCTTTGTCAAACTTTAAAGGAGAACACACGCATTCAGCTTATGATTTCTTTTTTTAAATGTCCCTGAAAAAAATCCTACTTCTATAGATTAAGAAAGCTTAGGGATAAAAAGAGAAATGTCCATGACAAAACCGGTACTATGATCTCACACAGGTGAGGCATAAATGATAAGATGCCCGCTCTAAAAATGATCTCCAAAAAAAGCATTATTGTTTTTGCTATTCAAAAGTAACACAAGTTCACTGGGGAAAAAAAGTCCAAAAAGTATAACAAAGAAACAAAATTAATCTTTCATTCCACTATCCAAAGATAACCATTGTTAACATTATAGTCTATATCTTTTCTAGAATGTTCCTACATGTGTTTTCTAGGATATACAACAAAGGCTTACCTGGAGAGTGAGGAATTTGGGCCAACTAAGAAAAAGTGGGATTTTTTTGGTAGGTGTTTCAATTAATTTGGTGACAAATGGGTATAAAGGAAGGAGTAGGCCTGCTCCCCAGGCTACGTTGTGTTTTATTCATACACTCACTAATGCATTCAATAAATATTAAGCACTTCCTATGTGACATGTACTGGGTTAGGGGCTGTTCATTATGTGGGCCTGGGGCTTTACCACACACAGGTGCTCGTGTTATTACCACAAGGCATGTGGGAAGGAGAGGGCCTGAGACATATGCTATTTTTGTCATCTACATATGACTTCATGGAGGGCTGAGGTGCCAGGAGGGCAGATATTTTTGTGGACCACAGACAGGAAGGACCATAGGGAGTGGCTCTTACCTCCTGAGTGCAAAGGCAGAGTCAGACTGGACTGTTGAACTGTTCATTTCCCTGGCTTTGTGAGCTGAGGAAAAAAAGGTTATTTAATAGTTAATAAAAGAATAGCTATTATTTATTAAGTGTTGTATGCCAAACAGCATACTATGCATAATTCATTTTAGTTACTTCTCACATGAACTCTTTAAGTTAAGAACTAACATTTAGTGATCACTTACCGTGTAGCCACCACTGTTGTAAGATTTTACATGCAATCAATGCATCAAATCCTTGGGACAAACCTATGAGACAGGTTATGATCCCTCTTTTACAGATGAGGAAATGGAAGTTCAGAAAGACTTGCTCAAGGTCACATACTAGACGTGACAGACCATAATTCCAAAGTCCTTATGGTATTTTCTCTCACAACTATTTAACTTATTTAATTAATGAAAAATAGTATTTCTAGCTAATAAGAAACCCCCATCTCTCCCCAGATTCAATCCTGAGGAAGTTTGGTGAGTGTCACTTCTTCGACACTTCAACATCGAAGCCAGGATAAGAAAACAGACTCTTTAAATATATATATATATTTTAAACTTTATGTTTTAAATTAATCTTTTTGGAGCTGATTTCTTTGGGGAAAAGACTTCCTTCTTTGATTAATACATTTCATTCTTTTTCATATTTTAAAGAAAAAGGTGATATTACTCTCTTCATAGCCTAAGTTGGGATTTCTTTGGCAATTAATAAACTCTCCTTTATTTAATGACTATTTTTTTATTGTGGTAAAATAATATATAACATAAAACTTACCACTTTAATCATTTTTAAAGTGTACATGTCAATGGCATTAATTATACTCACATGCTGTGCAACCATCACAACTCTCCATCTCTAGAACTTTCTCATCATCCCAAACTGAAATTCTGCACCCATTAAACAACTTCCCCCAATGACTATTGTTCTTAAAGGAGATAGATAACTATATTAAGCTTAGTTTTCTTTACATGAATGAGCACATAATTGTATGAGGGATATGAAGGAAAGGGATATTTGCCAGTATAATGGCAAATGCAGAGCCTACTGACAAAGGTATATAATTTGTAAAAATAGCTGAGTGGGCAGAATTCTGATTTTCAGCTGCCCTAGGCACTTCAGTGCACTTCTGATAATGATTTTCCTTGGGCATGTAGTTATACTGATAGAAATCATATCCATGCATAAAGAGTGAGCTTAATTATACATAACTACATACCTAAGATGAGGTTTTACATATTTTTTTACATATAATTTCTGATTTACAAAAGATGAGACACTAAATTCTAACTGATCTCAGAAAAGTAGTATGGGTCACCCTCAGAGCATGAGTGTCTTATTGTATGAGTTCTCCTTTTTACAGGAAGACACTGTATATTACCTTTCCCCTCCCCCTTTCGGGAATTGTTTTCATTACATGGGATTCCACAGTCTCATCTGGTCCCTGCTGTGACTCTGAGGACAGGCAAATGCACAAAGCCTGATTTTTAAGGTTTAGGATGTAGTCAGCGGGTAGAGCAACGCTACCTGGTCCTATTGAGAATGACACTTCTCCACCCCTTCAACTCATTTGTACTGAGCCTAATCATTTGAGCTCAAAATAATAAAAATAAAAAGCAGCTAAAGTGGGTTGAGTGGTAATGTATGTTCCAGGCACTGTGTAAAATGCTTTGCATGCATTATTTTGTTTAATCCTCACAACGCTGTGAGATAGGAAACAGTTCTCATTTTACAGATGGGAAAACTAAGGAACAGAAAAATTAGGTTACTTGCCGAAGACACACCATTCATAAGTTACAGACTGAGGATTCAAACCCAGGCTGTCTATAGAGCCCTTGTTCCGAGCTGCTCTGTTAACACACCCTTCTGGTCCACATCAAGCTTGACAGCAGTGTTTCCTCATAACAAGAGTCAAGGTTAGACCAAAATAAACCACACGCACATTCGAGCCCCTATGGCTGAGGTGAGCAGGGAGTCTCAGCTAAGGTCAGGCACTGGGTCTGGAGGTAGAGGCTGTCCAGCCAGGGAAGGGAAATGGAAAAGGCAAGGCCATCTCTTTTCTGGCCCCATTTTTTATTTGGTTGGTGAGAGGAGATGGGGGGAAGGGGCCTCTCTAAGCAGATTTCAAAGTCATCATGTCATTCTTTGTGCTCTCTCTCTGGTGTTGTGCCCCTTCGCCCTAGGCTCGTAGTTACTGCATCCTTCTTAGAACTGCTGTTCTTGAGGGAGCCACCTCCCCAGAGCTTCACTCTGCGATTCACTCTTACCTCCCCACACCTCCACTAGAAGTTTTCTGAATATAACTGATTTTAGCTGGTCATTAGTATAGTGGTGGCCTTAAATGGATAGACTCTAAGGTGAGAATGACCCTCCCCTTCCTTGCAATTCCCTGATTCTCCCAGGAACATAGCCCTGTCTACATTTCTGAAAGCAGGAGTTTTAATGCAAATTACCACCCTAGTGAGGGAGACATTTTTGAACAGGGTTTTAATGAATTCTGCCAGAAATTGAGGAGGCTTAGCCATCTGTGTCCCAGGGATCAGTTGTTGGGATCCAAGAGCTTCCAGAGGCACCTGAGAGCAGCTCCTGGCATGCTAGTCTCCTTCACATTCTCGCAGGGCCAGAAACACTCTCCTGGCCCTGCTCATGGTTCCTGCTCACAGGTCACAGTCATCCACACACAACTTAAAACGAGAAGTGCCTCTCCTGGGAGTGTTCCTAACCCCAGAGAGTGTTCGCAAGTCGTTTTCATAACTGTCATGAGTTAACTTCCTGTTTCAGGAGCAAGCACTTTACATCTGTAGGTGGCACCTTTGTGAATGGTTTTGTGGACCCTGAGTGCTGCATCCTCCTCGTGTGTAGAGGTAGCAGCTGCACCACGTTATGCTTGAGGTCTTGGTCTACGTCTGGTCATGAAAACCCTCTGGTATTCCTTACAGAGGTTAGCAGTGTTTACTACATTGTACTTGAGTAATTGTACCTCAAATTAAACGAAAAATATTTTCTGATGCTTTTCATGCTGGAGCATAGTCTTTATTTCAAAATGGTGACAAAATATTCAGCTGCCATGATAAGACAGCTCTATTTACCAGTAGTGACAGTTTGCAGTTGAGTCGTAGGAAGGATTTGTTAGGATGTGTTTAAAGTCATGTCGTATAAATAAAAAGAGTAAAGACTGGGTTTAGGATGGGGGCCTACAAGATACCAGCGGAGGCGGCCAGAGTTATTCTTTCACTTCCCACCAAGGTCTTGCCTTCTCTCTTACTTGTTTACAGCACTGTTACAGTATAGTGAATTCTGTCCTCAGCCTACTCTGAAAACACTGCCCCGATTTGGTCAGGTTACCCCAAAGCTACCACCTAGATCACACCATGACAAGAAAAAGAGATGTTTTCAACCAGAATTGGCTTATTTCAATTTTCTATTCTTTATTTCATTTTAATTATAGCCACTTGGAGCCAGTGACTATTTGGAACTGTCAAAGAATTTTGATACAGTATTTTTACGAAACATTCCACAATTTACCCTGGCAAAGAGGACCCAAGCTCGGAGATTCATAACTCTCATTGATAACTTTTATGATTTCAAGGTAAGGATGTGGCACATTTTCTCAAAACTAAACATTTTGGACTGTGGAGCGAAATTATCTGGGCTGGAATCCTGGTCTACCACTTACTTCACTTCTCTGTACCTGTTTCTTCATCTGCAAGTTGGAGATAATAGTAGTATTTACTTCAGAGAACTGTTGTGAGGACAAAATAAACTAATACAGGTAAACCATTTAAAACAACACTTGGCACAAGCTGAATGCTGTATAAGTACTATTGGTAGTAGCAGTAATAGTACTATATTAAAAATCCCATCATAAGACAGTCTGCTATATTACCAAATCCTTCATTCAACCAGACATATCATATGCTCTGTCTATGAGGATGCACAGCACAATGCCTTACCTAGATTGAGTGCTCAGTAAATACTTGTTGCATGAATAAATTATTGGACTGATAAAATAATGAATGAACAAAATGAATGAATGAATGACTAAAGTGCCCTCCTCAGTATTAGAGTTTTCTCTCCCTCTGACCCAGAAATCCCAGTACCTGTCATCTCTCTAAAAAAAAAAAAAATCCAGGTGTTTTAGCATGAATTGCAGAGCCTTTGTCCCTTCATCAGAGGCAGTATTGCCTAGTGGTTAAGGAGAGGGCCCTGGGGCCAGGCTGAAAACCTTGAAGACCAGCTTAACCTCTTGAACTTGAATTGCCTTCTTTAGCAAAAGAAGGCAATAATGGTATTTACCTCATAAGATTGTTGTGAGGTACATGAGCATGTAAAGTACTTAGAACATCGTGTGGTGTACAATAAGCTTTCAATGAAGGTGAGACATGATTAATAGTATATACCTATAAATATATATTTACAGTAAAGTATAAATACCACTTCAAATTAGAGTAAAATATTGTTTCACTGTTAGATACAGTTTTTCCTCCTTATTCCTTGCACAGAAAGAGATAGAGCAGTGATTCTAAAATTGAAGGGACTTTGAGGGGAGGAGAAAGTACCAGAATCTGCTGGGAGGGAGAGGTGAGATTTTTAATGTTTCCTTTATTCATTCATTCAACAACATTTATCATGCCAAGCACAGTGCTAATTCATTGACAAGCAAAGCCAGACATGGTGCCTGCCTTCATGGAGCTGATAGTCTAGTGCTGAAGAAACACTAATGAAACACAGAGCTGAGTGTAGAGTCCTCACTGGGATGCTCTCTTGGAAAGAGAGGGGAGTTGGTGCTGTGAGAGTACAGGAGGTGAGTAAACTGATCTTTGTGTGGGACATGGGACTGGGCATGGCAAGTCCTGCTGAGGACCAGCTGCACCAGAATCATCTGAGCTACTTAAGATCCAAATTCCAGAGCCCACACCACCCCCACCAGCAAATGAGGACCAAGGGTGGGGCCTGGAGCCTGCTCGTTCACCAGCTCCTCAAGTGCTGCTCACAAACTCTGAGATGTGATGGCCAAGCTCAAAGTGCAGAGTGAAAAGCCCTCACCAGAGTGGCGAGTTTGCAGCAAAGGCCCTGTGATGGTCCTGAGCATGAAGGGCAGCCAGCGTGGCTCTGGTGCAACGCCGAGGGCAGCCTGCCTTAGTGAGCATGATCAAAATCTGCTGCATGCTTCCAGGGGGTGTGCGAGCAGGGAGTCAGCAGAGGCAGGAAGCTGAGAACACCAGAGCTTAGGGGTCAAGTCCTGTCACTTGTCCCCTTCTGGGTCACTCATCCAGAGACTCTGCTCTGAAATAATCGCGTGGAGTCCAGAATAAATCTCCTGGAGGTGGCACTCTGTTTTTAGAGGGCAGTGCTTCAAGAAGAAAGTGGGAGAGGGGCATTGGTAGGTGGTTCTTAGACTGGAGGATTGATAAACTCTTATTTTTTTTTTTTATCTTTCGGCTAGGAATACCTTAAAGAAAGCTTATGGTCCCCACCCCTTAGTCCCACCCCCTGATCCTACCTCCCCCCACTGTTTCACTTCTTCGTTAGACAAAAAGATTTATCTGGCAATATGATGAAATATCAGAACTACTCTCCTAACATTTGCTTTAACCAAATCACACATTTGGAGTTTATACTCGTTTTTAAAGCATAGTCGAAATTATCTTATTTCAGAAATTGGGAGCATTAAACAGACATTGTTCTAGAATGTATTCTAGATGTATCTGTGAAATAAGGGCATTCCCATCTGAGTAATGAAAAAAGTGTCATTTGTGATTTAAATAATTTATAAGAGGAGGTAGAAGGCTATTTGGATATAGAAAGACTAGTCCCAAACATCATTTTGAAGTATCAGCATATTTACTTAAATAATGATTTTAAAAGGATGGCTGTGAATCCTGAAAACAAATTCAGGTCTCCTTAAACATCAAGAAGAGTATGTTTTATATATAAACTAGTGGAAATAAAATTTATAAAGATAAAAAAGCTGTTTCTGATATATGATCACATATGTACACTCAAACACTATGTAATCAAGAAATATTAATGTCAAGCGTAGTCTTTTTGAAGGATGTCTGGCAGGATGCTGAAATAAATGTAGGTTCTGGAAACTCAGGGTATAAGTAGAGTAGCAATGCACTGAACTTAGCAGTCACCTACGCAGCAAAGTGGTAACGGTGCATCTGGGGAGCATCTTTGATGCACACAGAGATGGGCTCCAAACAGTCAGGTAAAAATGTCAACCTCAGTTGTAATGGAAAAACCACTGAACTTAGAACTGGAAGATGTGGGGTGGTGTCACAAGTTGAGACCTCTCCAGGCCCCAGGTTGCCCAATAAAAGCTTTGTTCCCTACTTCAGAGGGTGGTATAAGCTGTGTGGAAATATTTGTAAAGTACTATGCAGTTTAAAAATATCACTTTAGGGCTTCCCTGGTGGCGCAGTGGTTGAGAGTCCGCCTGCCGATGCAGGGGACACAGGTTCGTGCCCCGGTCCGGGAAGACCCCACATGCCGCGGAGCGGCTAGGCCCGTGAGCCATGGCCACTGAGCCTGCGCGTCCGGAGCCTGTGCTCCACAACGGGAGAGGCCACAACAGTGAGAGGCCTGCGTACTGCAAAAAAAATTGTTTTTAAGTTAAAAAATATCACTTTAAAGAGACTCAAACTATAGGAAAAAATATGGACATGGTCAAAAGGCTTTTTTAAAAAGTACTTTGTTTCAAAAATACATTTGGAAACATCTGTGATCCTAGGCTATCTGAATATGGGTTATGTGGTTTGTCTATTTACATTTCAGAGCTATTCCAGAAATAGGAAAAAAGTTTTCCAAATATTGAAATCCACCTTAAAGAAATGCTGAGGCTTCCCTGGTGGTGCAGTGGTTAAGAATCCTCCTGCCAGTGCAGGGGACACGGGTTCGAGCCCTGGTCCAGGAAGATCCCACATGCCGCAGAGCAACTAAGCCCGTGTGTCATAACGAGAAACCACCACAATGAGAAGTCCGCGCACCACAACGAAGAGTAGCCCCCACTCGCCGCAACTAGAGAAAGCCCGCGTGCAGCAAGGAAGGCCTAACACAGCCAAAAATAAATTTTAAAAAAGAGATTTCCATATAATTATTTAAAAAAAAAGAAATGCTGTATTTACTTATTTATGCAAGATTTTTACTCATGAAGAAGATACAGTGTAAATGGGTCCTGCCAGTTTTGAAACTTTGACAACCACATTTTGCTGATGCTTTTTTTGTAGACGTTTAAGCATGGAGATTAATGAAATTTTTAGTAGCTTTAGGATAATTTAGGATAACTTCAGGATAATTAGCTAAAATCTCTAATTAGAAAAACAGATTAATGAAATAGCAAAAAAAATGTCATAGATTGAAGCTTTAAAATATTTATTTTTCCAAAATAAACATAGGACTTGGAGAAAATGTGTAGAAGTAGAAATAAAGTTAAGACTGTTACTTAGATTGAAAGAGAGGAGTTCAAGGCATTGTTCTTTTGTAAATACACATTCTATAAACTCATAAGAGTGTGTTTTCACCAAGTACCAGTTTTGCTGCATATATTTAGAACCATTTAAAATTATATATCACTTTAAAGAGATTCAAACTGTTAGAACAAATATGAACATTTTAAAAGCAAAAATCCAAGCTCCGTGTTATGACAAACGGATTTTTATGAGAAATTTGTTTTTACCTTCAACTTGTGAAAGGTAAGGAGTAACACCATTTACTCGTTTTCCTCTGTTTCAGGTGCGCATAATTTGCTCTGCATCAACTCCCGTATCAAGCTTATTTTTGTATGAACATCATGACAGTGAGTTGGAGCAAAGCAGAATACTGATGGATGATTTGGGGCTGAGCCAGGTAGGCGATATTAACATAATCTCTTTTTATTATAAAACAGCTTAATTGTTTTTGGTTTGATGCATGGCTACACTTTGAAGAAGGAATGCAGTATGTATTTAACCACTGATTTGCTGCTCTCTTCTAAAGGCAGTATAGCAGACGTATCCTCAGCATCACTAAATGTAGAGAATTACAGCTTTAGAGTGGAAGGAATCTTCGTGATCATTTTTGCATATGATAAAAACAAAGTCCAGGGAGGTGGACTAATGGGCCTGCGGTTATACCACTGACTAATGGCAGGCCGGAGCTGGATCCAGGCACTGTCTTTGGTTCTGGGCTCATTCTGCATTCTGCTACACCATGCTGCCTTTTCTGGATGTACTTCTTCATGTCTGCTGGATTTGTAGAGTGCATGATGCAATATCCAACCATGTGAACTGGCTATTCCAAGACTATGAAGTGCCTGGCAAGGCCCTTGCTTTAAAAGAAATCCATGCTTCATCTCCTAACCCCCATTCTGTAGGCATTTGTGGAACACCTGTGGGTGCCAGGCTCTGGGGACACTCTGTTGGGAACCAGCCTATGCTGGCCTAGTTCTCTTGGAGCTTGGGGTCTGGTACTTCACCCCAAGTCAAGCAGAAGTGACTTTGCATTTCCTTCTTCTGTATGAATGTTACAGGGTATATTTCTCAACTGTAGGCAATTGAAATATTAGTCAAAAATTTAAAACTATAAACATTCACCCCCAGAATGAGGCCAGCCCCATTCTTTCAACCCCAGTGGTGAAAGGCTATTTGGAATGAGGAGACAGTTCCTTATTGAGTAGAAATTATGCATTCTCAGGAGTCTGGGAAAATGAGGCCAATAATTCTTTAAAAAGTAAACTTTCAAAATATGATTATTTAAATCTACATGTAGAAATAAATGGCTGCTTATGATCCCATTTCTCTAAGAGTGATACATCCAAATAAAGTCTTCAACAATTTGGAAGAATACACTTAAGGGGCTACATGATCTCAGTTCCTAAAGTGCTTTAAATCATTGGCTTTAAAATTTTTCTTCTGATCAGGGTTCAGATACAGGGCAAAGTAAGGTGAGCACTTGGGGCTAATAATCATGAAGAAATCAGGGCACGTGACCGTAGGGTGATGCAGTTTTACAGTAGGTCAGTAACTTGGACTTAGGAGTCCAGAACTTTTCTCTGAAAGAGTTTAATAGCAAACCCCTAAGGAAAGAGACAAAAGTTCAACGTCCACTTCTGGCCACAGGCTGGTATTAGAATCACCAGTCCCAGGATGTTTACTGGCCTCACAAGGGGCTCCCCAACTCAGCCGCTACATGGGAGGATCAAGTGTCCCAGCAGCTCAAGACCAAAAGCAGCTCTGGCCTTCCCGAAGTAAGCTCCCAGGCACGATCTCCAGGCCCACAGGAGACCTCTCAGTCACCCAGTTTGGAAAAGGCTCTTCAGACGTTCATCTTCAGGCCTCCCGTCAGGAATGTGGCCCTGTCTGTGGAGCTTCAGGAGAGGGTCTTAGCTTCGTCCTGACATACCAGAACTTCTTGGTTTTTCTGTTACTTATTTCTGGTGTACACTTTTTGAGAAAAAATTCCTTTCTGTCTGGAATGTCCTTCCATTAGATTATGTAGAGAACTTTCATCTGAGCAAAAATTTTCTTATTTGGATTTTGGGGTGTTGTTTCAGCTTTAATTATTCATCTAATGTTTTCTCCCTGGTAATTTGTTCTGTTTATTGATTATTGGTTTAAATTAGCTGATTCTCTAGTCTAATTTAAGAAATTGTGTATGAAAAAAAATTATAGAATATTTTGTAATATAAACCCAAAAAGTATTTTTTAAAGCCTGTACTTAGTTCTTTAAATTTTTAGTTGTGGGGGTTTTAATTGGTGCTAGGTTGCTGTTTTGTTTTGTGTTTTGGTAACCAGGACTCAGCAGAAGGACTTGCCATGTTTACTGGAGAAGAGGAAATCTTTGCATTTCAGCGCACAATTTCCCGACTCACGGAAATGCAGACTGAACAATACTGGAATGAAGGGGACAGAAGCAAGAAGTAGCCGTCACTTTTGCATGAATAAAACTCTGAGCAAATCATTACCGCAGGGAGAACTCTTTATTATGGGACTTGAAGGAACCATTTTCTGATCATTAATTAAGCACTTTGTCCTCTGGACCACTTTTTTTTTTTTTTTTTTTTTTTTTTTTTTTTTTTTTTTTCTTGCGTTATGCGGGCCTCTCACTGTTGTGGCCTCTCCCATTTGCGGAGCACAGGCTCCGGACGCGCAGGCTCAGTGGCCATGGCTCACGGGCCCAGCCGCTCCGCGGCATGTGGGATCCTCCCGAAACGGGGCACGAACCCGCGTCTCCTGCATCGGCAGGCGGACTCTCAAGCACTGCGCCACCAGGGAAGCCCTGGACCACTTTTATCTAAAATTGCTGTCAAAGATGTAGTGGATTAGTAAGTTAAAGCCATTTTTAGGTCTACTTTTTGCCTATTTATTTGGCCTTATTTCTGCACCACAAAATTAAAATCAGCACTCCTGAAGTTGAATGTAGGACTAGGCATTTTGGTTTCATATTAAGCCACCTGAATGAACCTTGAACACACACACACACACACACACACACACACACACACACACACGGTAAATGCAGGGTGTCGGGAAATCTCTAAGCTTTGGCTACATGGTAGCCGTACAATAGAAACACATCTTTATGAGAGGGGAAGAAAAAACTCTACATTTCAATTAAAAACAAAGAAAGCTTTATGATCTTATTTCATTTCTTTTTCCCCCATGGTACTTTATATGACCCTGGCTTTTTTTTTTTTTTTTAATAAACATCTTTATTGGAGTATAATTGCTTTACAGTGTTGTGTTAGTTTCTGCTGTATGACAAAGTGAATCAGCTATATGTATACATATATCCCCTTATCTCCTCCCTTTTGCATCTCCTTCTGACCCTCCTCATCCCACCCCTCTAGGTGGAAACAAAGCACCGAGCTGATCTCCCTTTGCTGTGTGGCTGCTTCCTACTAGCTATCTATTTTACATTTGGTAGCGTATATATGTCCGTGCCACTCTCTCACTTGGTCCCAGCTTACCCTTCCCCTGCCCGGTGTTCTCAAGTGCATTCTCTACATCTGCATCTTTATTCCTGTCCAGCCCCTAGGTTCATCAGAACCTTTTTTTTTCTTTTTGTTTTTTAGATTCCATATTTTATGTGTTAGCATACGGTATTTGTTTTTCTCTTTCTGACTTACTTCACTCTGTATGAAAGCCTCTATGTCCATCCACCTCACTTCAAATAACTCTATTTCATTCCTTTTTATGGCTGAGTAATATTCCATTGTATATATGTGGCATACCTTCTTTATCCATCCATCTGTCGATGGACACTTAGGTTGCTTCCATGTCCTGGCTATTGTAAATAGAGCTGCAATGATCACCTTGGTACATGACTCTTTTTGAATTATGGTTTTCTCAGGATATATGCCCAGTAGTGGGATTGCAGGGTCGTATTGGTAGTTCTAGTTTTAGTTTTTTAAGGAAACTCCATATAGTTCTCCATAGTGGCTGTACCAATTCACATTCCCACCAGCAGTGCAAGAGGGTTCCTTTTTCTCCACCCCTTCTCCAGCATTTATTGTTTGTAGATTTTTTGATGGTGGCCATTCTGACTGGTGTGAGGTGATACCTCATTGTAGTTTTGATTTGCATTTCTCTAATGATTACTGATGTTGAGCATCCTTTCATGTCTTTATTGGCAATGTGTATATCTGCTTTGCAGAAAGGTCTATTTAGGTCTTCTGCCCATTTTTGGATGGGTGTTTGTTTTTTTGATATTGAGCTGCATGAGCTGCTTGTATATTTTGGAGATTAATCCTTTGTCAGTTGCTTCATTTGCAAATATTTTCTCCCATTCTGAGGGTTGTCTTTTCGTCTTGTTTTTGGTTTCCTTTGCTGAGCAAAGGCTTTTCAGTTTCATTAGGCCCCATTTGTTTATTTTTTTATTTCCATTTCCCTAGGAGGTGGGTCAAAAAGGAACTTGCTGTGATTTATGTCAAAGAGCGTTCTTCCGATGTTTTCCTCTAAGAGTTTTATAGTGTCTGGCCTTAAATTTAGGCCTTTAATCCATTTTGAGTTTATTTTTGTGTATGGTGTTAGAAAGTGTTCTAATTTCATTGTTTTACAGGTAGCTGTCTGGTTTTCCCAGCACCATTTATTGAAGAAGCTGTCTTTTCTCCATTGTATATTCTTGCCTCCTTTATCAAAGATAAGGTGACCAGATGTGTGTGGGTTTATCTCTGGGCTTTCTATCCTGTTCTGTTGATGTATATTTCTGTTTTTGTGCCAGTACCATACTGTCTTGATTACTGTAGCTTTGTAGTATAGTCTGAAGTCAGGGAGCCTAATTCCTCCAGCTCCGTTTTTCTTTCTCAAGATTGCTTTGGCTATTCGGGGTCTTTTGTGTTTCCATACAAATTGTGAATTTTTTTGTTCTAGTTCTGTGAAAAATGCCATTGGTAGTTTGATAGGGGTTGCATTGAATCTGTAGATTGCTTTGGGTAGTAGAGTCATTTTCACAATGTTGATTCTTCCAATCCAAGAACATGGTATATCTCTCCATCTGTTTGTATCATCTTTAATTTCTTTCATCAGTGTCTTACAGTTTTCTGCATACAGGTCTTTTGTCTCCTGGGGTAGGTTTATTCCTAGGTATTTTATTCTTTTTGTTGCCGTGGTAAATGGGAGTGTTTCCTTAATTCCTCTTTCAGATTTTTCATCATTAGTGTATAGGAATGCAAGAGATCTCTGTGCATTAATTTCATATCCTGCTACTTTACCAGATACTCTGATTAGCTCTAGTAGTTTTCTGGTAGCATCTTTAGGATTCTCTATGTATAGTATCATGTCATCTGCAAACAGTGACAGCTTTACTTCTTCTTTTCCAAATTGGATTCCTTTTATTTCTTTTCCTTCTCTGATTGCTGTGGCTAAAATTTCTGAAACTGTGTTTAATAATAGTGGTGAGAGTGGGCAACCTTGTCTTGTTCCTGATTTTAGAGAAAATGGTTTCAGTTTTTCACCATTGAGAACGATGTTGGCTGTGGGTTTGTCATATATGGCCTTCATTATGTTGAGGAAAGTTTCCTCTATGCCTACTTTCTGCAGGGTTTTTATCATAAATGGGTGTTGAATTTTGTCAAAAGCTTTTTCTGCATCCATTGAGATGATCATATGGTTTTTCTCCTTCAATTTGTTAATATTGTTTATCACATTGATTGATTTGTGTATATTGAAGAATCCTTGCATTCCTGGGATAAACCCCACTTGATCATGGTGTATGATCCTTTTAATGTGCTGTTGGATTCTGTTTGCTAGTATTTTGTTGAGGATTTTTGCATCTATGTTCATCAATGATATTGGCCTGTAGTTTTCCTTTTTTGTGACATCTTTGTCTGGTTTTGGTATCAGGGTGATGGTGGCCTCCTAGAATGAGTTTGGGAGTGTTCCTCCCTCTGCTATATTTTGGAAGAGTTTGGAAATATAGCTGTTAGCTCTTCTCTAAATGTTTGATGGAATTTGCCTGTGAAGCCATCTGGTCCTGGGCTTTTGTTTGTTGGAAGACTTTTTTTTTTTTTTTCTTGCGTTATGCGGGCCTCTCACTGTTGTGGCCTCTCCCATTTGCGGAGCACAGGCTCCGGGCGCGCAGGCTCAGCGGCCATGGCTCACGGGCCCAGCCGCTCCGCGGCATGTGGGATCCTCCCGAAACGGGGCACGAACCCGCGTCTCCTGCATCGGCAGGCGGACTCTCAACCACTGCGCCACCAGGGAAGCCCTGTTGGAAGACTTTTTAATCAGATTCAATTTCAGTGCTTGTGATTGGTCTGTTTATATTTTCTATTTCTTCCTGGTTCAGTCTCGTAAGGTTGTGCTTTTCTAAGAATTTGTCCATTTCTTCCAGGTTGTCCATTTTATTGGCATATAGTTGCTTGTAGTAATCTCTCATGGTCCTTTGTATTTCTGCAGTGTCAGTTGTTACTTCTCCATTTTCATATCTAATTCTGTTGATCTGAGTCTTCTCCCTTTTTTTCTTGTTGAGCCTAGCTAATGGTTTATCAATTTAGTTTATCTTCTCAAAGAACCAACTTCTAGTTTTATTGATCTTTGCTTTTTCATTTCTTTTTCATTTTTTCTGATCTAATCTTTATGATTTCTTTCCTTCTGCTAACTTTGCAGGTTTTTTGTTTTTCTTTCTGTAATTGCTTTAGGTGTAAGTTTAGGTTGTTTATTTGAGATGTTTCTTCTTTCTTGAGGTAGGATTGTATTGCTATAAACTACCCTCTTAGAACTGGTTTTGCTGCATTCCATAGGTGTTGGGTCCTCGTGTTTTCATTGTCATTTTTTTCTAGGTTGTTTTGGATTTCCTCTTTGATTTCTTCAGTGATCTCTTGGTTATTTAGTAGCATATTGTCTAGCCTCCATGTGTTTGTATTTTTTACACTTTTTTTTCATATAATTGGTATCTAATCTCATAACATTGTGCTCAGAAAAGAGACTTGATATGATTTCAATTTTCTTAAATTTACCGAGGCATGATTTGTGACCCAAGATATGATCTATCCTGGAGAGTGTTCCATGAACACTTGAGAAGAAAGTGTATTCTGTTGTTTTTGGATAGAATGTCCTGTAAATATCAATTAAGTCCATCTTGTTTAATGTGTCATTTAAAACTTGTGTTTCCTGATTTATTTTCGTTTTGGTGATCTGTCCTATGGTGAAAGTGGGGTGTTAAAGTCCCCTACTATTATTGTGTTACTGTCAATTTCCCCTTTTATGGCTGTTAACCTTTGCCTTATGTATTGAGGTGCTCCTGTGTTGGGTGCATAAATATTTACAATTGTTATATCTTCTTTTTAGATTGATCCCTTGATCATTATGTAGTGTGCTTCTTTGTCTCTTGTAACATTCTTTATTTTAAAGCCTATTTTGTCTTATATGAGAATTGCTGCTCCAGCTTTCTTTTGATTTCCATTTGCATGGAATATCTTTTT